ATTAAAGGCACTTCGACGGATCTAATGTCACTTCTTTCACGCTCTACACTGCCTCACCATTTGGCACCTAACCTTCATTTTCGCCCACCTGACCATTTCAACGTGCCCCCTGCTTTTTAGCATATCAGCTTAGATTATTGCTTATCCTGTTACAACTGTTGCTCCAACACACATCAAAAAATGATTTACAGAATGACGGAGGACTCAGTTTCACTCTCTTCGACCGAGGGAAAGAAGAAGAAAGGTATCTTGAAGTTCTTCAAGAAGTCTACGTCAAAACTCAGTCTTGCTGGGTCTGCACAATGAGATAGATCTACATGCATGCTCCTCACTCTCATTAATTCAGTCATCACTTCTATTATGGCTAGAAATACTATTTTAATTATTTAATATTTAACCTTTTATTGTGAAGCTTTGTTTCCATGTATGACTTTCGTTCTAGTGATCTTTTACCTTCTCGTTCATATTTACCACAACCACTGTTAGTTTGATCCGGTAATTAGGTATAGTTGTCATTAGAACCAGGGCATGTTTCAGTCTGAGGATGTTGAGTGCAAGACCTGCTTTCTCAGGTCAGCTACGTAAGGTGAAGCCCGACGCTTAGCCCAGACCGCGTTTTCAGAAGTGAAATCCGTTCTGACGCTCCTTTTCCAACCTCTGATGTTAAAGGTAAAGCTCGGAGTGTACTTGACCACCTCAGCTTTTTGTGATGAATGCATGTTTTCCTGGCAAACCTGCCTTGGTCGATGGTGGCGACTGTACTGAAAGAGTTAATGGACTACTGAATTGTGATCTAAAATGCCTTGCCTTCCCATATCATCGCCAAAATGTTTGAATCGTGTGCACGGTGGCCTGAATTTCATTGTAGTCCTATTGTTATTCCCTCATCTCAGTGCTGCTCGAATTGTATCGATTGTCGATTTCCTTGTTGCTCCGCAGTGCTTGTGATCTAGGCATATACGGGGTTATCGTTGAATTCATATTCAAACATTGTCTAACAAACTGATTAGTGCCAACTAATCTCCCCTATATGTTAATAATACTTTTAAAACTGTGATGCTTTACCTAAAGTATGCTCGAAACATTATTGGGTTAATAAATATTTTGTTGATTAGTCGTGCAGTTGATTTGAGCGGATTTCCAGCAGAAATTACTTATCGTTGCGTCATCAATTCGATAAGTATTCAATGGTTGTTAAGCAGAGATTTTAGGAATAATCATGAGTAAAATGATCTCCAAACTGGCAGCTGCCGAAGCGTCAAAGACCGCCGGAAAGGGTGCAAAGAAACCAGAAAGTCCTCTTCATGTTGTGAAACTCAAACGGATACCGTACGGACTCTTTGAAAAGGTTAAGCATAAGAGTTTTCAAAGGATAAACAAATTATGTTTTTGCTTACAACCCTTTTCTGCAAACGTAAGCTGCTCTTCCCTTAGGATTAATAGAAAAAGGTCAAAACATTGCAGTAGTCAGGCTCTCTAAAGGAGGAGATCTCTATGAAAACATGCCTGGATATTAATCCCTGTTCCCTTTTGTGTTTCCGAACTGTGCGACTGAATAAAGGAGGAACTGAAGCGCGATTCTGAGGAACGCTCATGGGCGGACCATACTCCGCATTTGGGTGTGGCGTAGGTACATATCGATCATACGATCGCACTATCGATATGTTCTATTGCAAACTCAAACTGCACAGTATAATCCTACCCTTAAGGCAGGGGAAACCTGTATAGTTTGTAGATTTCTGAGTGGTTTTCTGCAGAACATGGAAGCATAGAACGGAGAAAAGCTTGGAGGGAGCTTGGTGAATTTGGCTTTGTCTCGTCGAATTCGTCTAAGATGTTATGACGAAGGAATATTTCATTTTCTACTGGATTTTGCCTTGAGGGCTTAGAATTCCATCCACATCGTTTTGCGCAAGATTTTAAATACTTAAATTTGGTATGGCAGTTTTATTTGGTTTTGGCCTTGTTGTTGTCTTTCGCTCACAACTTCTTTTAATAAAGGCGCTCGTATTTTTTCTCAATCCATTTGTATTTCCAGCAACTGTGGGAGTATTTCACTCAGTTCGGGAAGGTTATAAGAGTTCGAGTAGCTCGTAGTGTGAAGGTAAGCTACTATATTCTGATTACTCTTTAAAAAGTTCATAATTTGTTATTAACTTTTATATGCAGTCGTTTCTGATTTTGCCGAAGGCTTTTGTGACGTACTATCTTGAAAAAAAAAGCTTGACCTTACCGGCAACAAATTGATGTAAATGTAGGCTATGTAATTAGAAACTGCGAAACTGTTCGTAGCCCAAAAGTCTACATTTGGAAAAGCTTAGCCCTTTTGTAGTTGGATCAGGGCAATTTAGTGGTGGTGCCGGTGTTTAGTGTTTATTCTGATTAATATTCAAGTCTACTTATTTTGGTTGCTAGAGCTGCTAGAGGTGTCACAGAGTATCAGAGTCGCACACGAACCTGTCTCGCAAGTATATGCGGCTTACTAAACAACTTTTCAAGAAATATTTCTTTTGGATGCACCATTGCATTTCGTTATGATTCAGACAGGCAACCATAAAGGATGGGCCTACGTTGGATTCGAGGACAAAGATGTAGCGGAAATTGCAGCAGAAACAATGAATGGATACCTCATGTTCGAGAAAAGGCTCAGCTGTCATGCAAGTTTTGCCACTGTTCAAATTTCATCACTAAAGTGTTGATTACCTTTGCTTTGATTGCGAGTTTTAGGTTATGGATACTGAGAAAATTCCAAAATGTATGAAAAGTGGACCAAGATATCTAGCTCCACCTCACATGCGAGGGCGTGCTAAAAAGGAAGCTTTGAAGCGCAATAAAGATAAGACGAAAGAGCAAGAGGAAAAAACAAAGGTATGGAGAATTGAGAAAGCAGTTTTACGTGATCTGTGTTTTGTTTGAATTTTCTTCAAAGAATAGTGTTCACCTATGTCAACTGTTATCTTTTTTCTGACGGAATGACGGACTTTAGAAAATTTTCCATTCATCTCAGTCGCGTGCCACATTGCCTCATTGTCAGTAGTCCTTGCTCGAGGGACGCGATGTCTTTCTACTTTTCGTTCAAAACTCCGCTAAGCAGTACCATTGTCAAGCCGGCGGTCGTCCTCCACTTTCTTTGGCGTTCCATATATTCATTAGGTACCGCACTGATCCAGCGGTCATTGCAAAATCAGGCTCAACTGATGTTCGACTTTGGCAAATGCGAGTTCGACTCTGGCAAATGCGACGGCGTCTTTGATCTTCGATCATTGACGGAGTTCGCATCCGGGTTTCCCTATATAAGGAAACTCAAAGATCATCCTCTCCATGCCATAAGAGGCGATCGCATCTTTGTGCAGAGTCCATGTCTTCGAAGCGTACGTTGAAGCAATAAGGGCTTAGGATCGTGGAGGCGGCACAGGCAGGAGTTGCTCCTCTTTGGCAATGGACTTA